TGTGGTATTCGTGCCAAAGGACATGACTGCATCAAATCATGAGGAAACATCAGACCAACCCAAACTGAGGGGCATTCTAGAAAGTACCAGGCCCATGCCCATATTCTTCAAATACTATTTCAGATGAAAGGGATCAAAGGAGACAGAAGAGACTGAACAGCTAAAATGCGCTATATAATCTTGTTTTTATTTTTGCTATAAAAGGATATTATTAGGACACCTGATGAAATTGGGACAAGGTCTGTAGATTACATAAATTCCCTGATTTTGATCATTTTACTGTGGCTATTTAGAGAATTCCTTATTTTTAGGAACTATATAGATGGACAGAGAGAGAAGAGTGAAAAACTGAGAAAGATAAAACAAATGTACAAAAATGTTAACATGGGGAATCTGAGTGAAAGGTGATGGGAATTCTTTGTATTACTATCAGAACTTTTCTCCAAGTCTAAAATATATATATAAAAAAAAACCCCAACCCCACCCTATTTTTATAAAAGATTCTATTTATTTAAAAGAGAGAGAGAGAAAGCATGAGTGGGGGGAGGGGTAGAGGGAGAGGGAAAGACTCTCAAGCAGACTCCCTGCTGAGTGTGGAGCCCAATGTGGGGCTCTATCTCACAACCCTGAGAATATGACCTGAGGTGAAATCAAGAGTTGGACGTTTAACCGACTGAGCGACACAGGTGCCCCCCAAACCACCCTATTTTATAAAAGAATTCTCGGAGTCCATAGTCTCTCATGGTTCGCCGAGAAACTGAGGGTTTTAGCGGGAGGTGGGTGGGGGATGGGTTAACCCGGTGATGAGTATTAGGGAGGACACACATTGCACGGAGCACTGGGTGTTATACGCAAACAATGAATCATGGAACACTACATCAAAAACTAATGATGTACTGTATGGTGACTAACATAATAAAATAAAATAAAATAAAATAAAAATAAAAGAATTTTCCTTGTGGTTATGCTTTCAGTTTGTTACCCAGTGAGGCCAATTTGTTTGAATTAGATTTTGACTTGATTTGATGTTTTGATTATATAAAACATATACATGGGCGCCTGGGTGGCTCAGTCTGTTAAATGTCTGCCTTCGGCTCAGGTCATGATCCCAGAGTCCTGGGATCGAGCCTCACACTGGGCTCCCTGCTCAGCAGGGAGTCTGCTTGTCCCTCTCCCTCTGCCCCTACCCCCCCCGCCCCGCTCATGCTCTGTCTCAAATAAATAAAATCTTTAAAAAAATAAAACATGCACATAATTCCAAAGTCGAAACTGTAAACAAATTCCATTCAGAGAGGTCTAGCTTTTGTACCTTCTCCTTCCCCTTAACCTCTCCTTCCTCTTTTGTATTTGTATTATTTTTTGGTTTATCCTTCCATTGTTTCATTATCTTTTATGAAAACAAGAAAATACATATAAATATTCAAAAATTTCACATAACAATATGATTGACGGCTCCATAGCAGCATCTCGAGATTTTCTGGGAGATTTGTTTTTGTTTTGTGTCTGAGAGAGGGACATTTGTGTGCTGATGGGAAAGACCCTGTGGAAAGGATTATACAGCCTCCAGGGGAAAGAAGGGGTGGGATATAGTGTGCAGGCGGGGAGAGGGTTTGGCCCCAGCGACAGTGAGGAAGGCAGGGTCTGGGAGCACCTGTAGATGCAAGCAGATGGGGATGCAGGAATATGAGGAAGTTCTCTTCTGAGTACTTCTGTTTTCTATTTACGTTGAAATAAAAGTGATCATCAGGCAGGAGTGGGGAAGCAGAGGGGGTTGTTGGCAACTTGAGAAGTGTGAAGGTGTGAAAAAAGATTTTCAAACAATGGGACAATGAATTGACTAAGGCAGTGGTTCTCAAACTTCAGCCTCAGAATCACACAGATTTGCTGGCTTCTACCCCCAGAGTTTCTGATTCACAAGGTCTGGGATGAGGTCAAGAACATGCATTTCTAACAAGTTCTTGAGTGACGTTGATGCTACTGGTCTGGGAGCCATGCTTTGAGGACCAACAGACTAAGGAAATATAGCAGGACTGCTGGCAGCACAGGGGCCCACTTGAGGTTTGTGGTCATGAATGTGAAGTGAGAACAATCAGTACGATTGGGTGTGTACCTAGTAGCCCTCATTGCAGCCAGCAGGGTTCAGGTCTGGAGTAGGTGGTGAGCTGAATTTAACCAGGGTTGGAATTCAGATAAAGAGAGGATGGTGATATCAGTAACAGATGGTGCCAGACAAACGTATCCATTTATTTATGCTTTTCTACTTCTATCTTCATATAAAGAACAAGCTAAGCTACCAATAAAGGAGGAAGAAGATACATGAGAATGAGTTAAGAAGAGACAGAAAGTAGAAAGCTCAGAATGAATCGGAAAAGGCTCATGGGAGGGAAGAACCAGAAAAAGATTACAGATCTTCCTCAATCTACAATGGGGTTATGTCCTGGTAAATCCACTGTAAGTTGAAAATACTGTAAGTTGAAAATGCACTTAATACACCTAGCCTCGCGAATCTTGTAGTTTAGCCCAGACTACCTTAAACATGCTCAGAACACTTACATTAGCCTCCAGTCAGGCAGACTCATCTGACACAAAGCATATTTTATAATAAAGTGCTAAGTATCTCAGGTAACTTATTGGATACTATACTCCGAGTGACAAAGTGCTTGCTGACGCTCGTGATGGCATGGCTGACTGGGAGCTGTAGCTCACTGCCACTGCCCAGCCAACACGGGAGAGGATCAGGCCACATATCGCTCGCCTGGGAAAAGACCAAAATCTGAAGTGCGGTTTCCACTGAATGCACATTGCTTCTACACTGTTGCAAAGTAAAAAAACTGGAAGATGAACCACTGTTAAGTTGGGGACTGTATGTACTCAAATCTGGTCATAGTAGGGTCACCAGGGCACTGAAGATTAAAACAGAATTAGTATTTTGCAAACGGAGGCTAAGGTGTGGAAAAATAGCTAGTATAACATAAAAATATTTATATTAGATTTAGTGAAACAGAATGCTAAAAAAATACCTATTTAGTTATATATAAAAAAACAACTCTGCCAGGATCACCAAAACGTATTTGCATAGTCATTTATATCACTGCATTAGTCACAACAATAGCCAAGAGGTGGAAGCAGCCCAAATGCCCACTGACAGATGAATGGAGAAAGAACGTGTGATATATACACATACAGTGAAACATTATGCAGCCTTAAAAAGAGGGAAGTCCTGTCAAATGCTAGAACATGGGTGAACCGTGAGGATATTATGCTAAACGAAAAAAAGCCAGCCAGAAAAGGACAAGTACAGTATGATTGCACTCAAATGAATTATCTACAATAGCCCAAATCATATAAAGTAGAAAGGTAATTGCCAAGGGGTAGGGAAAGGGAGTGTTCAGTGAGTGCAGAGTTTCAGTTTTGCATGATGAAAAAGTTCCAGAGATGTGCCGCACGAGAATAAAAATATACTTAATACTACTGAACTGTTTAAAAATTGTTAAGAAAGCAAGTTTAATATTATGGGGTTTTCTTTCTTTTTTCCTTTTTTTTTTTTTTTCCCTCACACCGCAGACACACAAAATTCCTGCCAGACCAACACAGTAATCCTCTTCCTTCTCAGGGGTCCTAAGGGGAAGAGCTACGAAATATTTTCATTCCAGCAATTTTAAAATATTCTGTCCCATGTGTCATATTCATAACAAACCAAAAACTCTGGAGAATATGAGTTCAGGAGAGTAAATGTACCCAGAAATAATTAGAATGTTAGATAAAGCCCAATGAGTTAAATATTATTTAGGGTAAACAAGGCTGCAGGGTAACAATTATGGGGAGGATAAAAACTAATCTTTCATTTCAGATGACAATGAAAAAAGGGAAATGCCATGAAACTGCAGGGCCAGCAGTTACATAGACGGACAGACAGTCATTAAATACTGGACGAGGACCAAAATAAAAACTGTAGAATCCCTTCATTTTTTTTTTTAAGATTTTTAAATTTTATTTGACAGAGAGATAGAGAGCACAAGTAAGCAGAGAGGCAGGCAGAGGGAGAGGGAGAAGCAGGCTCTCCACTGAGCAGGGAGCCCGATGTGGGGCTCGATCCCAGGACCCTGGGATCATGACCCGAGCCGAAGGCAGCCACTTAACTGACTGAGCCACCCAGGCGCCCCCTTCATTATTTTCTTTAAAACAGACATTTCAATTTACTTGGGAGAGTTTATCGTAGTGATAAAAAGGGGAGAATACCATCACAAATCTCATCTAGTCCTAAGAATGTAGCATTGTTTTAGAAAATATATCCAAGGTCTTAAAGGGATACATGAAAATCTACTAAAATAATGTACAGATCAAATAAAACTTAAAAAAACTAAGGAATAAAATAATTCATTACTGATGTTAGTACAGTTCAAAACAGGACTGCCATTTTATGTGAATAACTTAATTTCTAAAATGAATCCTGAAAGAAACAGATATTCAGTGCTTACTATGCCTTGTTTCTTAGGAAAAATAGAAAATGCATAATTCTGCTTAGAATTTATAAAACTTCGCTGGCTCAGTCGTTAAGCGTCTGCCTTCGGCTCAGGTCATGATCCCAGGGCCCTGGGATCGAGCCCCGCATCAGGAGCCTGCTTCTCCCTCTCCCGCTTCCCCCTGCTTGTGTTCCCTCTCTCGCTGTGTCTCTCTCTGTCAAATAAATAAATAAAATCTTTAAAAAAAAATAAAATAAAACTTCTTTATTTGGGGGGATAAGGGCAAACTTCCCACAACTGTGAAGGTGAAAGGTATTCATATAAAAGATAGAAATAATTTTCTAAAGTGAAGTGTTGACTGAGCTTACACATAAAACAGTTGCATGCTGGTGAGCTTTTGAACATTTTCACAAGGAATCGGGACGGATGGCATATTGAAAAAAGAAAAGGGAAAAAAAACTTATTACCACATGCAAATATATATAAAAAAGACAACCTCAACCAATTGTACCACGACCGGATGGAGGAGCCCAGCTGACATACAAAGACTAGTCTCTGTGTTTAGGGAAGCTTGGGGTTCCGCTCCTTTTACTGCAAGAGAGTCTGACCTGTGAGTACTCCTTGATTTCAACTCTATAAATGACCCATTATTTCAGTTAAAATTTAATTGTCTGAATACTAAAAGTGAAACCTGCTTCATGGTGACTAGCAGTGCTTTGCTTTTTAGAGACCTGAGTAAACTGCTTGAATGATACCTCTCTGCCTTGATTTGACTTAAAATAAGGCTGTCTTCTTAGTGACTGGAAGTACTTTGGGTCACTGTGGGTACTGAAGCTCATCCTATCAATATTGTCACGTTGGTTATACTGTCTCTTGTATATTGCCATAAAGACTTGCAGAGCTACTTGAACCCATTAAGAGTTATGCTCATATGCAACAAATTTTATCTCCAATGTATTTTAAATGATCTATCACTTATTAACTTTATTGTTTTGTTGCCTCCCTATTTGTGCCAGTTGTACTTTATTATATTGTTACTATTTTTTGGTAATTGCCAGATGAATTAAATTTTAAGTTTGGTGTTTCAGAAGTAAATAAGGTGAATATCAGAAAAAAGGAAAAGCAAAATACATGTTAGTTAATTCAACTGAAATTTAAAAAAATTTTTTTTTAGACACAATTAAGTTTTAACAAAACCTAATGAACTACTAATAGTATTATTTCCACAGTAACGTGCTTCCAATTTTTATTCTGTATGCAGCAATTAATGCAATTTTTGAAGCATGGCCTGAAAGACTCGGTCATCAGCAAGTCAAATTACAGTGAAAGGTTGCTGCCATTGCCAAATAGGTATGTATTTTCACATAGCAATGTGATGTTTTCACAAACATACCCAGAGTGCATTTAAGAAACCTTGGGCTCTCTGGCGGCCACAGCAGAAAAGTATTGGGTGCTGCCCTCCAGTACAGCAGCTCTGACATGAGGCAGTTGAAAACTGTTGGCCGGGGAGTGGTGGTGCTGGGTACAACGCAGTACTAATACAGGGGGACAAACTTCAGGATTTGTCAAGTAACAACCTTCAAAAAAAACCCTTTACCATCTACTCTCAGAAAACCATTGTGACCATGTCAATATAGCACACGAGTCACAAGTAATGCCCACTGGGAAATTAGTCCACTATGCGAACACAGTGGCTTGTTTCTTGTTCTCATTGGCCATTCTTAAATCAAATGAGTAGTTTTTAAAACATCAATAAATGGCGTTAAGAACAGTGAGTGATTGACACATTGTAAAGAAGGCGAAAATCAGCCATTAACTGTAAAACAGAATCTAATCTGTTAATTTGTTAATAAATGACTGGACACTAGTCATCTAATACATGGCTCTAAATGATGGCCATTATTAGTATTTAAACAAATGCATTGCTTTTGCTTTATTTTCTTTAAGCTTACAAATAAAGCAAAACCAGAAAAGTTTACTGGCAACGTTGTCCAACTATTATTAATTTATTTTATTGGCAGATTAGAGCTGGGGCAAATGGTTTCAGGATATGTGCTTTGTAGAAATATCTTGATGACGGCTTTCTAGAAATATCTTTATGATGGCTCTCAGGCCTAGAAGTAAGTTTGAAAAGGTATGCTCTGGGAGATAGGCTGAACATTCCGATGAATGATTGTGATTCTGTAAACTCTGGACTTCTTTACTTATTAAAATGGACAGAGCAAATGAAAAGAGTAATACCTTTTTACAAAGAAGTAAAGCTAGAAGGTATAATAATCTCTTCTTAAAATTGCTGGTGTGAGGTGCACCTGGCTGGCTCAGTCGGTAGAGCATGTGACTCTTGATCTTGAGGTTGTGAGTTCGAGACCCACACTGAGCATAGATTACTTCAAAATAAAATCTTTTAAAAAAATCACTAAAAAAAAAACCGCTAATGTGGAGAATGTTAAAGGAATCATGTCTAAATACTGCTGACAGAACTCAGCATTAAAGAAGAAAATGCTGATCCTATGGGATTAGGAGGAGTGAGGTTTAGCGAAAAGGATCATGGACCCTAAAAGCTAGGCAGATCTGAGTCCCAGCTTGGGTACTGCCATTTAAGAGCTGTGTGGTCATGGGTAAAGTTCACAACCTCTTGATCCCTCATTACCTCTTTTGTAATACCGACCTCACAAGGTTACAATAAGGATTATGCAAATGAAGTAATATAAATGTGCCTGGTACACTGCAACTGCTAAATAAGTATTAGTTAATGGTCCAGCCATCCAGCTCAAGGGTTCAATTCTGGCTGCTTATTAGAATCCCCTGAGGAGCTTTTAAAGGAAACCATTGCCTGGAGCCCATTCCAGACCAATTAAATCAGAAGATCTGGGGTTGGAGCCAGGCACTGGTATCCTTAAAAAGCCCTCAAAAGGATTCCAATATGCAGCCTGGAGTGAGAGGCAGCGAGAATCTTTTCTACAAAGCACCCATCAGTGGTAGTCTTGAGATCTCTGGTGCTAAGACCCCTACTGCCTCCCAGGATAGACTGTTTCATTCTAGAACAACATTTCCTTAATAGGAGGCAGCATCTGTCTCTGCAGTTTCTATTCACTAGTCCTTGTTCTGCTTTCTGAAAACACGGATCACAGGGTGAAATCCATCTCCAGGGTGGGAGGTGCTTGTTTCCTTCAGCTTGCTCCTATGACATGATTTGGGCTTTTGTCCCCTTTTGTTCTGTGGCAGTTTCCAAGTGTGCTGCTGGGATGAAACACTGCATTCCAGGTGAGGCCCTCCCCAGCTGGCAGTAACACCCTTCAGATGAGGAGTAACGGTCTTCATTTAAGACACTCCCTATCTATGAATTTAACCAAAGAAGGGGGTTAGTTTTTGCTGCAGGCGCAGCGTGCTACCGACACAGCAACCACACAGTCCATTGCAATTTCGTTTCTTACTGTAGCTAAAGCCCTTCCTGTACTTGAACTGCTGATTTTGAGATCCGCATGTAGAACTTCACCTACTCTTCTACTGATTTCCCTCTTTCATTCAGTAATATTTATTGGGCTGAGCACTTGGTACACAGAGGCAAACGAAAAGGACTTGGTTCATAACCCTAACAGAGTTTAAAATACAGCATGGGAGAAGGAAAAAAAAAAAAAAAAAAAAAAAAGAACCACTTACAGAGGAGTCCTTGCAGTCGTTTTGGCTACCTGAGCTCTCAAAATCCTATCACTTGCCATCAAGGTCCCTTTCATCGGGGGCTATGAGAAGTTTCTACCTGAGCTTCTGCGAAATCCCCACGCAACCACACAATGCAAATTCCTCCTTCAGGCACCCTTTTCCTCTTCCTGGTAATCTAGATCGCATTTATCAGCTTCATTTTTTGGCAGCCTGCCATTCTTCCTAGATGGCCCTTTCCTTTTAGAATCTCGGATCACCAGAAGCATGCCTGTAAGTTTCTATAAACGTTGCCGACATCGGTCTTCCTGCAGTTGAGACACAGGACAGACTAGACTTGGTCCTCCTGCCTCCCTTCCCCCAATGACCCGAACTCTGCAGACAGGCTCTTACCAGGGATTACATAACTTCCTCTTCACCAGTTGGTTCCTCTTCCCTGGAATCAATTTTCCCCCTTTGACATTTTAAACTGGAATTTTATCCTCAGTGACATGGTTTCTTCTCGATCAAATTATAGATAGAAGTTTAAGAAAGGCTAAGTTCTTCCAAATGTTTTTTCTCTGTGTACCATGCCACATCAAGAAGTTACTGTAATTCAAATCCACTTTACATTATAGCATTCAGAATTTGAATGCACATGCCTACAAAAAACATTCACTGAGAGCAGGATCTTGGTCTTGTTCACCTTTGTTTTCCATGTAGTATTTAGCCAGGTGTGAAATATTTACTAAAATGAGATTAGTCCAAAGGTTTGTTTTTTTTTTTTTTAAAGCTAATTTTCATGGAGCACTTTTATGTGCTAGGGTTAAGTTCTTCATACACATTGTGCATTCCTACAGATAAGAAAACTGAGGCTTAGAAAAGATTAATTGGTTTGATCAAGGTCACAGAGTTAGTTAGGTCTGATTTTGGTAACCTTGCTCTGAACACCTTTATGTTACTTCTGCTAAGATGCTGCTGTAGAGAAAAGGGGCAGTCGCTCTAAGAAAGGAAAGGGATGAGACCTCCTGGAAACTTCTCTCCTTGTCTTCTAGCTCCTTATGATGGCCTCCCAGGCTGAGTTCTTCATAGCAATCAATGCCCAGGAAAGGGCCAAGAACAGGTAGCATTATTAACATTCTCTGCTGCCACAAACAAGTGGAATCCACACTCTATCTCTTGTAAGGTTCTAGCAACAGTTGCAAATTACCTAACCCAGGGCATAGTAAGCTGCAGTTAGTTATTTCAAAATCCTGGAATGCACATCCTGTTTTCCATCTAACTATCACTCTAGGTTTCTAGGTCAGGAGACTGCTTGGCCTAACTGGCGGCCGTTGCCACCTGACTTGCTTTTGTTCGCCTACTTTGCTCTCCTGTTGCAGTGTTAGAATAGTCTGCTTAAGGAGGCAGGTGCTCTGCTCTCTTGGTCTTTGTCCGCCTGCCCTGTAGGCAAATGATTTTAATACACCCAACTGGGTCTTAGGTTGCAAAGGAAGACACTGAGGACTCTTTCTTCTATTCCCACCCTGGAATGGGACACTGACACAGTTTATCTGTCCTATGCCGTGTGGTAGCCCTTGTCAAAATGAATGATTGCCATATCTAAGGGAAGGCATCAAGGCAGGAAGCTGGGCAGGGGTCAGCAGTGGGCCCAGCTCACTCATGGCTGTAACTACTTTTAGAGAAATTGACCCTTATCTTTGAGCAGTGTGAGCTGTCATTTCTCTTCACCTCCATCTCTATTCCTATAACAAACTCCCTATGGAAGTTTAAATAAAACAAACCTTGAACGTATAGTGCAGCCATAGGAAAGGCAAATGACTCGATGTTGCATTCTGTTGTAGGAAAAATCTGAAGACATAAAAGCTACACACGAGGAACATGTCATTTAGCGCCTCCGCTTTTTGATCCCTACACCGGACAATGAGAAGTCACATGGTAACAATGCTGAATGCTACAGCCCGCAGTTGGCCTTCCTCCTCCCAGAAATGCAGCTTTATGGCTAATCGCAGCAACCAATTGCTGAACCCCTCAGGAGACCCAAATACTACTACTGCCTGTTCCATGGATGAGAAACTACTTTCTAGCCTGTTAACAATATCCTACTCTGTTATTTTCATCATAGGACTGGTTGGAAACATAATTGCCCTCTATGTATTTCTGGGTATCCACCGCAAAAGAAATTCCATACAGATTTACCTACTGAACGTAGCCATTGCAGATCTCTTACTAATCTTCTGCCTGCCTTTCCGAATAATGTATCACATTAACGGGAACCAGTGGACACTCGGTGTGATCCTTTGCAAGGTTGTGGGAACACTATTTTATATGAACATGTACATTAGCATTATTTTGCTTGGATTTATCAGTTTGGATCGCTACATAAAAATTAATCGGTCTATACAACAGCGGAGGGCAGCAACAACCAAACAAAGTATTTACGTTTGCTGTACAGTATGGACAGTTGCTCTGGCCGGATTTTTAACTATGATTACTTTAACCCTTAAGAAAGAAGATCATAATTCCACAATGTGTTTCCATTATAGAGAGAAGCATAATGCCAAAGGAGAAGCAATTTTTAACTATGTTCTTGTGGTAATGTTCTGGCTAATTTTCTTACTAATAATCCTTTCATATATTAAGATCGGCAAGAATCTACTGAGGATTTCCAAAAGGAGGTCAAAATTTCCCAACTCTGGTAAATATGCCAAAACAGCCCGAAATTCCTTTATCGTACTTATCATTTTTACTGTATGTTTTGTTCCCTATCATGCCTTCCGATTTGTCTATATATCTTCACAGCTAAATAGGCCGTCTTGCTATTGGAAGGAAATCATTCACAAAACCAATGAGATCATGTTGGTTTTCTCATCTTTCAATAGCTGCTTAGATCCAGTCATGTATTTCCTGATGTCCAGTAACATCCGCAAAATAATGTGCCAACTTCTTTCTAGACGATTTCAAGGGGAAGCGAGCAGAAGTGAAAGCACTTCAGAATTTAAACCAGGATACTCCCTGCATGATACATCTGCTGCAGCTAAAATTCAGTCTACTTCTTAAAGCACTTGCGGTAAACACATTAAAAAGGATGAAAAAATACAACCTCTTAATTCCTTAAAGAACTAAAAATTATGAAACAAAGTTCTAGCATTTGCAAAGCTCAGATCTGCTCAAAGCTCTTTGCTTACTTGTGATATTTCATTTGCTTAGTTATAAACTATTTCAAGGGAAAGAAAAGCTTATACTTATCACTAGATTTTAAATCTGTATGTAAAGTCTTTTCAAAGTATGCTGTTAACACTCTTAACATAGATTACAGGGTTAACTGAAATTTATGGTTTTAACAACAGAATAATTGAAATGCCATGGTTTTTCAAGTCACTAACGTAGTTACTCAAAATCAAGCACTTAATACTAATTTAAAGTGCATTTAAAAAGTAAGTTAAATGACTGGCGGACTGACAAAAATGTCAGAAAATGCATGTTCTTTCTCATTTAAAAAGCCTGTATAATTTGCTACTGTATTCATTTATGCCTAAACCTTTATAACAGATGAAATAATAAATTCTAAGTATAAAATGAAATCACCCATTATCTATCACTCTTTAGATCAAATAGAAAGAATTTAAATACTGTACAGTAAAAATCAAACAACAGATGAACTAAGAATTTGATAGCCTAGCAATAAGGACTTGAACCCACACCTTACTTAAAACAGATTTATAAGTGACTCAGCCATCTTGGACCATGCTCTGATAGAGTAAAATTGAAAACAGGCACACCCTATGAGCCACCAAGTCTGATACTAGGTATACATCTGACAGAACCACTCAAACATGTTTACAAGAAAACTTATACATAATGATGCTCAGTGAACTGTTGGTTCATGATAACAAACAATTGGAAACAACCTAAGTTGGGTATCCATCAGCAAAGGCATAGAGAAATAAACTGTTCACAAAATGGGGTATTATACCGCGCTTCAATGAAATGAACTACACCTGCATGCATCAACATGGAGAATTATCAAAAACAATGTTGAAGAGAAAAATACCCCCCAAAACCCAACTGCAAAAAGGTATACACCATGTGAAATCATTTATGTAAAATACAAAACCACATGAAATACCATATTCTTTATGGATCTATAGATACACAATAAAAGTATAAAATGTGCATACTATCCACAGCATAACACACCAACTTAAAGTTAATGGTTATAGCTGGAGAGATTTGAAGCAAACACTGCAAAATGTTAATGTCTGTTAAACCTGTGTGATAGTACTTGGGTATTTGCTTTATTATTTTTGGTATACTGCTGAGTGTTTGAAATATTTTATAATAAAGGAAAGTTACAGATTAGAATTAAAGGGAGCAAATTCTTAAATGTTCATGTATGCTCAAAATTAACTGGAGAGTAAGCTCTAAGAGAAAGGGCTCGTATTTAGCAAGGGCTCCTGGGAACTTAGTGTGTTGCAAGGCACACAGGTGACCAATAGGTATCTGTTGAATAACTGAATGAGTGAACGAATGAGATGAGTGAGAAAGGGAGGGAGGGAGGAAGGGGGTGCTTAACAGAATTGAAAAACTGGGTGTATTTTATTTTTTCCTAGTCAATGTATCTCGATATAGCTGCATTGGACATCATATGTTGTAATCAGGAGATGTAATTAAGGCAACTGTTCTTAAAAGTTTGTCCAGCATTTATTCAGTTTTTTGGTCACACACAGAACCAGAATGCCATTGAGTAAATATGTAAAAGCTATTATGACAAAGTCCAAGGATCCATTCATAAGTTTGTCACAGAGTAGGAGAATTTCTTATAGTTAGAATAATTCTTCAAACTTCAGGTGGGCCAATGGCTGGGGAATCAATGTTAAAGAGTATGAAGAATTTTGTTAGGGTTAAATTTATTTTAATGAGATTTGGCTTGTATACAATTAGTGTGCAGCCATATATTAGTAAGTGCATGCTATTCATTGAATAAAGACCAGGTCAAAGCAGAATTATATTAAAAAAAAAAACAAGAATCATTTGAGGATAAAAATGGAAATTTGCAGAAAAATTAGTGGCTCAGAAAAAATTTATATTACTCTGCACTGACAATGTTAGCAAATACCACCAAACTGAAATTTGGTATTTCTGTTTGTATGGTTTTAAAATATAACAATACTAAATTTTCCCTCATGTTCTCAAAGGTAAAAAAAAATTTTTTTACATTACTGGTAAGCATTTTATATCCCTACATGTCTCTACTATAAACATAACAGCCTGAATGGTTAAATTACATTGCGTGTGCGCTCACGAGTGGGGGAGGGGCAGAGGGAGAGGGAAAGAATTCTGAAGCCATGGAACCTGACACAGGCAGATCCTACGATCCTGAGATCATGACCTGAGTGGAAATCAAGTCAGACACTTGGGATGCCTAGGTGGCTCAGTCAGTTGGGCGCCTGCCTTTGGTGCAGGTCATGATTCCAGTGTCCTGGGATCGAGTCCTGCATCGGGCTCCCTGCTCAGTGGGGAAGCCTGCTTCTCTCTCTGCCTGCCGTTCTCCCTGCTTGTGCTTTATCTCTCTCTGACAAATAGATAAAATCTTAAAAAAAAAAAAAAAAAAAGAGACACTTAACTGACTGAGCCACCCAGGTGCCCCACACAATGGCATTCTTTTTAAAAAAAATTAAAAAGTACATTAATTCTTGGTATAATATTTGTGGTAAAATAAATTTTGATAAAAGTCAATCTGAGCTTAAGTTTATAATGGATTTTGTTTATTGATAGAAGTTTCACTAATAACGTGTCTTAGAGTAACCTGAATCCTGCAAATGTTTGTAAATTTTTAACATGCTACTGACTTACTGAATTTAAGGCTATTTGTTATATATCATCTTTTATTTCTTACTGAGCGTTAGTGTTTGCAAGCAGGAAACACTTGTCCCTACATCCCCCAACCCGACGTTTAGTTCTAGAAGCATTTAGAAAAAGGAAATTCCCAAGTATATACATATCCTCACCTTGCAAAAGATACTCAGAACAAGTTTATAAATAGCATCTCACATACGCAAAACTAAACAAGGGCAAAATTAACTGCCTGGCTGCCAGACTGAGACCCAATGCTGAGTACTGCTGTTCATTTTGTAAAAGTATTCGGTGCAGAGCTGGGTTTGATGATGGCTAACTTTCTAGGATCAGGTCAACAGAAAAAGGAAATTTTGTTCAAGTACAGAAGGGTTTATTTTCAACTTCTTTTTAAGATGGATTCTTCAGTCCTGCCAGTATAAAAGTAGAACTAATAAAATTATAACTCTTTGAAGCAAAGTCTTACTGAAAGTTACCCACAAGAGAAAAACAGCATGAAATAGAGTTCTCCCAACAGGCAACCTGGATTTTGCCGAAACATATTAACAGGCTATTTTTTAAGGTTTTTTTTTTTTTTTTAAAGATTTTATTTATTTATTTGTGTGTGTGAGAGAGAGAGAGAGAGAGAGAGAGAGAGAGAGAGAGAGGAGAGAGGACATGAGCAAGGAGGAGGGGCAGAGGGAGAGGGAGGAGTGGGCTCCCTGATGCGGGGCTCAATTCCAGGATCCTGAGATCATGACCTGAGCCGAAGGCAGACATTGAACCAACTGAGCCACCCAGGTGCCCTAGGTTTTTGAAATATGAATGGAAACTTATTTTACCAGATATTATTAAAATATATTCTTATCTTTCAATAAGGAGAACTCTGTGCAGCAGATACAAGGATAAGCTTATCACTGGAACAGAATACACATCTCTAAGCAGACCCTCAATGATACAGGAGAAGATAATATGACATAATTAATGTGTCTCAACAGAGTAGGGGCAGGAACAATCAGAGGGAAACCTAAGATTCTGTTACTCAAGATGTGCTAGGATCTTGCAAAATGGGGTTAAGTGGATTTTTGAAAACCTGAGTGAGTGTGACAAACTTCCCTCCCTCAGAAAGAACCACTACAAATAAAGGGAGACAACAAGAGAAGCATAGGGGAAGGAAGGGATGGATTAATAAAAAGTGCTGTGCTTATTAATCAAAAGTCAGTTTACAGCCTCACCTGTCACACACAAAACATTATGAAGTGGATTAGACTGTTAAATGTAAATAATGGAACCATGAAAAGATTTAAAAATAGGTGACTAACTCATCTGTATATGGGAAAGAACTTCCTACTAATAAAACAATAGAAATAACTACAGGGAAAATGCATAGCTTATTTTTTTTTTTTGTCAAAAACCACACACAAACATAAACGCAAAAGCAAGAGTGGGAAAAACATTCACAACAGACGTGCGTGACATCTATGAGGAGAGCCTTTTAGGTCAGGCACCAACTCCAGATGCCACAACTTGCCAAGAAACTTCTATTTTTCATCAGAAGAAAGCATTCGAAACTCAGAATGTAATCTGAATTGTGTCATCTCAGATGAGATAGAAACCAAGGCATACTCTCACGTTGGCTGAGGCCACGTCTTTTTTCAGTCTGGTTTGCAGATGAAGACAGGAGGGCTGGCTGGGGGGTGGTAACAACAGACTCAGAGCTGGAAAGGAAGTGCTAGGTTTGTCCTAACCTTCTGCTATGCCTCTTATTTCCCCCCTTTCAAGTTCACATGCAAGAAAATGAGAAACAAAGTCAGAGATATTTATATTATAAATAGAGATATTATATGCGCCTTTACACTGTTAGGCACTGGACACACATTATCATCATTTAATCTACACTGCAGTGGTATAAGGAAAACTACCTTTTACACAGGAGGGGATGTGAGTTAGACTCTGACTCCATAGACATTGTCTCCACTAAGACAATGCTTTTTTGTTTTCATTTCCTTCTGCCCAAGCCCAATGGTTAACTACTGAGATGTCTTAAAAACAAAAACAAAAACAAAAACTATGTATTTGGGACAAAAATTCTGCTTATCACTCATCCAAACTGTGTGAGGTCAAAAAGCCAAAATCTTAAAGACTGGTTTTCTAGCTGTGGCACATTTGCACGTTCCGGGAAAGCTCTGCCTGAAACATGGACAGTAATCTTGTACAAAAGCCTACAGGCTGAATGGGGGAAAAATAGTTTTAGAGCACCTCACCCTTATTAATTTTGCTTCTGGCCAAGGAAATGCATCAAGAACCATCCTAAGATGAGATTTGGAAGAAGTTTCTAATTATAGTTTGAATATAGGTGTGGATGATACATAGAATCTCTTTTTGCTTTGGTAAGTCATACAGTTATTGCAGGATATACAGTCAACTGTTATAGTTCTACTCTGGTGGGGTCATTCCATGTATCATCTTTTTTTTAGTTCTAAAACATTTCAAACATCCAAAAGGGGGAAAACACGATAAAGTAAGCAGCAAGCACCCATCACCCAAATTGAACAGATGTTAACACTTGGCCCTATTTGCTTAACTGTTCTCTTGTACCCAGACATAACCCCCAAAGCTAGATTCACTAAAGCTCATCCTGAGGTATCCTCTTCCCTGAAGTTAGTAGTATCATTCTGATGTGCATTTTTATACTTTTATAACACAGGTATATATAACAATATGCATTAGTTTTTG